TTAAAGGTAAATTTCAGTACAGTACATGTGTTCATCACAGAAGTGGGTGTTCATGGTTTAGGGTTCGCTGAGCATTAAGAAACTGAAATACTAAGCACTGCTGAGCATCCCCAAGCATTTGCAGAGGTATTGACTTCACTTACAACTGACAGAACTGCTGCTGGGTTCTGCAGGGCATGTGTGGTAGTATTGTTATTACTGTTGTGGTTGTTCTACAGGGCCTGTGTGTGCACATATTATGGTGGTGGTGATGTTGTTGTTCCTATTTATGTTTCAGGTTACTAGTGGGTTGTTCATGCAAGAAGGAGCTCTCTTGTGTAGAGTGTAGGGTGGGCAGGTGATGAGAAATGCTGTGATGGAGGTGACTTGTTCTTTGGTCACAAATCCTCCCGAAGCTACAATATTCATCTCTTGGCCAGTGGAAATTTGCCTGAATGGAAACTCAGTGAAGGGTACAGTGTGCAGACACAGGTTTATATATGGGGCAGTAGATTTAAACAGGACGTAAATATTGCACAGTGCCCTACTGAAGGAGAAAAACAAGTGAAGGATTTTCAGTTGGGGCCTTGTTCTACTGAAACCCTCCTTAGATCAGCAATTCTTCATTTGCTGGGAGGAATCACTAGGGACTGGTACATTCCTGTGTCTTGGCTAGGGAATAGGGAAACTGGGTCCTTGTGTGTGTGGTGGGACAAGGAGGAAGGAAAAGTCTGGAGGGAAGTTTTCTGAAGCAGTTGAGTATAGACAAACAGGTGCAAACACAGTGGTACAAGGTAAGCAGTGTGTGAAGGCATGGGCTGTGGGACAGTGGCCTCTACTATCAGCACTAACTCTGAAGGAATAGCCTTGTTTAAGTGGGAATTTGAGTGTAAACCAACAATAAATAAGGAGTGGAGAGTCAAGTAACAGAAAAGAGAAAATTCCGCAGGACTGTATCTGTTGAGATTCACTCTCAGGCAGAAGTGTAATTCTGACAGCATCGATTAAAGAAGGCTTTATGGAGAACACATTTCTCGGAGCTACTCTAACCTTATTGTTATAAAATCCAGTCCTCAGGCCCAGTCTTGACATGGACAAAGAAACACATGTGAAGAAAGCCCTGTGCTTTGCTGGGAGCTGCAGGGGCTTGCTGCTGCTCAGGACCAGAGACTTCCCATGTGCCAGGCTGGTGGCATCGACAGCTCTTCTCAGGTAATGAGCAGAGCATCAGGGATGCAGTGCGATCTGCATCCTGGCTCACTGAGCTCCATTCAATTGTGTCTGAGGTTTCCAGGTGAGGCTTCACAAACCAAAATGTGCTCAGGTGTTTTTGGTCTTCAGAGAGCCCCCAGTTAAGGGCTATGACTTTATGCACATGCTTGGATGTTTGTTCCTCTTTGCTACTGGCTACCTGGCACTCACATCTGGCACTCCTCTTACTGACGGTATTCCTGGGATCCCCTTGCAGCCTCTCGGCAACCTCGACCTTCTCTCTGCCCTCCTTCCCTGTGTCCAGGTTCTGTCTGGGCTCCTGTATCCAGCACAACTGTGTTACAGCATCCAACAGGCTGAATATCCCACTAGTAAGATATATTGTGAACAGTCGGATCAAAATGCACGAAGTGAAGCAGAAGTGAAAGAGGGACTCTGGGCAGTAGGTGCAGGAACCCAGACAGCCTTCTTGGTGTGAGCAGCCCTGCTTCTGGATAAAAGCTGGTATCCCTCCTTGAATCCACTGGGATTCAAGCCTCTCCATGCTTTGATGAGTCCTCTGCCTTCTGTTTTCCTAGCTACTCTCTTAGCTAGATTTGAGTACTTTAGGGATCTGCCATCCCACAGACATGGCAGAATGTCAGCATCACGTGCTAAGTTTCCTTTCACTGCTGCCAGGCTTGAAAGACAAATACAGTGAGGGAAGAAAGAGACAGGATACAAACACCTACATCAGGACTTTTTCTGAAGCAGGCTGGGTGGCAAAATGGGAAGAATGCTAGGAATGTCCATTCTGGTTCACTGTCAAACCTGATCCTGCAGAACACCCACAGCGTAACTAGTCCCAGTAAGAATGGCTTGGGCCATAGATGGATGTAACTATTGTCTTTGGTTCCCTCCAAAGAGGTGCAGCCTTTCCTCTCTGAAGTCTTCCTTACAATTATGTTGAAAGGTACCAAAGCAGCAGCATCACTGGGGGGAATGTGACCACAGAATAGGACCCAGGTACATGAGGCCCAGATCACCCTTGCCTGGCAGCTTACAGAGTTGTTCACCTCAGTCCAAAATGATCCAAAACATGAAGGTGGCATACCACTGCTCACTGAACAAGTGCCAATGATGGATAAAGAGAGGAAACACATCTGGAATGCTGGAAATGGATTGCCAATCCAGACAGGCCAATAATAATTTGTTTTGCAGGGCAGAATGACAGAGTTCAAATCAAAGGAACCTTTCTGCCTGAAAAAGAGGTCATTTTTTGAGAGATAAAATCACCTTCTGAGAGGTCTACTCATTTATTTAGGAAGCCCTCACGTCAGAAATCTTTTCAACCTGGACTCTAAGTCTTGGCTGTCTAGTCCAGTCAAGGCCACAGCCCAAAAGGGAACAAACTAACTTAGATGCTTGCTCCTGAGAGTTTCTCCTAGGAGGTACCTGGTCTCATTGAGTATCTTCAGGTATGGCTTTGCCAAGTGACTACAGGGGACTGTAGCTTGTTCCTGTCTCCTGTTAGCACTGTGCCAGTCCTGCACTGGGGGAGCAACCGGAATACTATGCATCTCCCTCAAGTTATGGCTGCATCTGCCCTGGCCCTCTTGCACTCTCCAGATAAACAATCCCTTCTAGCAATGACTTGGAACAAGCTGTTTAGCAGGAAATGGTGATGAAATCTACAAACTGTCCTTTCTGGGATAAGGAGTGCCTGTTCTTCACCATAAATCAAGGAAGGAAATTTCCTTTAAACATCCTAGGCATAATGTAATGACAGTGCATCGCCCAGGCAAGACACTAGACTTTGCAGCTGAAGTAATTGATGATCTTTGGAGAACATGCATAAGGTTATATGAAGATGTTGCTTTCTCACATTTGACTGCAGTTTGTGCAGTTTATGCCACAATCAAGGCAAAAAAATAACTGAATGCTGTATCATAGACCTAGCAAAGGGTCTGAAGTACCATAAAGACTTCTGCTGACTCTGCTTGCCTTTGAGTAGGGTGCTACATGCCGAGTATTCAATTACCTGTTGAGTCCAGTTGGCATTTGCTGATATTGTTACATACTTGAGTCAAAACACAGCTCCCCTCCTCACTGCCCTGGAGAAGGACCTGCCTGTTACCCTGTGAAATTTCCCCTGCTTGTCTGTCAGGGCTGCTGGGCTGTAATCTTGGAGGATAATCAGCAGCGAAACCGTTCATAAATCACAGCTAACAGAAAAGACGCCGATAGGGTCTTAAATTTCAAGCCTGCGAAGCCATCATTTCAACAATGACAGTCAAAGGGGAGATTAAGAATTCTTTTACATGGAAAAGTTTTTCTTGGAAGAGCAACCCCCTCTTTGGTTGCCTGTAAATACAGTCATGTGGATTTGATTTTTACATGGCCCTTCTGCCCACTTGCAGGGAAGGCTCTGCAACCCCGATGGGCCTGTTCTCACACCGAACTGGCGTGTGGAGGGACTGCGGTGGGATTTGACTAAGGTCTCAGAAACAAAGAATTGAAGCTTTGCCCGGTGCTAGCAAACAGGCTGCCTGTTTAGGAGGCAGTGGCAGGAACTTTGCGAGAACCAGACCCCTCTTGGCTGCAGTCCACCATGCCTCTGGGCCCAACTGCAGAATGGGAATAAGACCAGTGCCTTGTTTTATGGTGCAAGTAACGCATTCAGAGATTATCTGTACTTACACCTCATGGTGTTTAAGGCTGTAAGGGTATTGTGAAGTCTGTTGCCAAAAAGTGAATGCAGGGATGGATTAACACTCAACCTGGAGGGTAACTGATCTCTCTCTGATCCAGACAGAGTCTTGTCTTGCTTTGTTCATTGGGACTAAGTGCTATACTTAGGAAGAAAGGAGGGAGAGTGTCTCTGTGTAGTTCTTGCCCTCCCTGCTGTGGATGATGACCAGCAGTGCTCACAGTTTCTGTCTTCAGGTTGAGAACAGCAAGTCTCAGACAGGCTCTACACTCATGGTCATGGCTGTCCCCAAACAGCCCAGCTGGAAATGGACTCTGCCTGTTCACTGCAACTCTGGGATAACAAACATTTACAGCATGGTTTCTGCTAACACTAATGAGTTCTATTAGATTAATTACTTAGAGTGAGGTCTGACTTAGCTGCCTCCCTTTCCATCTATGGGGCAAAGTAGAAGAGCTAATAATGATGTTACAAGATGAGTCTACTTGCTCAGATCTAACCATGTTCAGAATCACTGGTGGACAGCTAGAGCTTGCTTAGCACTGCAAGTCTAGTGGTTAGGTTTCCAAGGGTGCATAGCACTGATGCCACTGTTGTAACTTGAACCACAAAGAGCTTGAAAACTGAAGGGATTTAACTTCTGGTCTGTAGAGGATTTAATGCCGACCTTGCCTGGGGCATTCTCACTTTCTGATAGGTTCATGTATTTAGAACTGGCTTATTAAATTAAAACCAGCAGATGAGTTAGCTCAGTTAAGCTACCTGAGGTTGTGGAGCCTCAAGGAACCCATTTTATAAATTAAGGAAAAATATCAAAACCAAATCCTCCTTCATGGAAGTCTTTGGTTTTTTGTTTGCAAAGGAAGCATCACCCCTTACTATGAGAAAATATAAAGCCTGGCGATGAAATCCTACAAAGGAGAAGAGTTGGAGGAATTCAAGCCTGAAGAAGAAGGAATGGGAGCAGGAGAAGAAACACCATGTGGGGCAATACAGTCTGCTAAGTCACATAATGTTCTTTCCTCCAGTTACTCTTCCATTTAGAGTAGAGACTAGGTGGCTTTCTGCTCTGGAATTTCTAGATATATCCTGTGTTTTCTACTTCTGTTCTTCTAGCCTGGTTAGTTTTGTGACAAGCAAGAGAAAATACCACAGTGGGAAGGACACTTCTGTTCTAAGCGTTGTTGAAGAAAAACAAGAGCACACCAAAAACTCCTCTGAAGAATGTAAAGCCTCATTGAACAGCTTACAGATGAAATTCTTTACTCAACAAATAGGTGTCATTATAAGGACTCCTACATTTCATATTCTTGGCTAGCTTGTTATGATAGTGTTGTGTCTGTTTGATTTATGACAGATTATTTCTTCCTGTAATGTCTAGCAATCACTGGCACATTTCTTCTCCAGGTATCCACCCGATTTAGCACATTTATAAAGCTTAGAAGAACAACCACAGCTCTCAAATTGCCTGTTGAGATGCGGCATGATGAAAACAAGGCATGACACAGTGATATGTGAGGGACAATAGGGGAGATGGCTTCACTGATCTCTTAGCTCTTATTTCCTACAGCCCTAAATCACATATGACGTGAAAGAAATGCTTTGTGCACCATATGGTGACCTGAGGATTGGAATACCATCTTCCTCCAAGAGCAGCAGCTGTCAACTTGTCACTTGTTGAAGAAAACCAAGACAAGCAATTTTAGCCAGCTTAAATTCACTGTGCAGGAGCTGCATCAGTGCTGAGTCCACAAATGGAAAAAGAAAAACCAGTCAGAACTCACTGTCCTAGGGACATCTTCAAGTTAGAAGTCTTTGGTTTCTATGTCTAGTATTATACTAGACATAGAATACCCCACTGAAAACCAGTTGCTTCATGATCTCAGCGTGTCTCCTAATAAAAGAATGGGAGCTGAGAATTGAGCCTTCTTAAGTCCATAGATGCTGGAACTCAGTACATTCATTGCTAGAGGTCATTTTGCTGAAGAGTTTCCCTCTTGTTCATCCTTACCAGCAAGCTCTTAGCAGACCCCCTCACACCCAGCCTTCCCCATGGCCTCCCAGGAATAACCCTGTGTCACTTGGAATCTACTCAGCCTTTTCTGATTTCTGTACTAATCAGAGACAGAGACTGACCTCCCTGTACAGAGGGACTGACATAGGTACCTCTCATCAGGGTATGACCGTGCTGTATCCAGCTGCTGAACAGATGGGTCTGAAACAATATCCCTGGGCATGGGATTCAGGCTGCTCAGCCAAAGCTCCCTGCATTTACCTAATTGCCATCAAGGTTTAGCACTGGTACATTTCCAAGTGTGGTCGCTTGTCCCCTGACAACTGGACTGAGACCACTGGAGTTGTCAGCTAAATTACCTTGAAGTGATTTAAAACACTACAACCCAGACCCCATGATGCACACAGCTCCCATTTCCTTTTGTATTTCTTTAATAGAAAAGTAACAGGAAAAGCAATTACTGGCCATATGAAATGTCAGTTCATACAGTATTTCCTACAAGACTTCAAGCAACTCCTTGTTAAAGCAGATAAGTTAATCTGTCTTTTGGTTCAGGTCACAGTAGGTTTTCAGCTTTAAATCACTGTGGCTCAGTAACTAATGGCATTTGCCATACAAATGATGCTGAAAAAACAAGGAATCTGGGTAATTATTAGGTGTATATTTCCGGTGAAAACAATCCACGTGAAGACAGTGTCAGAGAAAAGGGTGATTGATCATCTGGATTCTGCTCCCTTGTGTTTTCCTGTGCACTTTCTCTGCACTGTAGTCTTAACTGTCAGGCAGTTACTGTAATGAAGTCTGGTAGTGGGCTTTTCAGCCTGAGGAGCTGTGTTACTCTCAGGAGGGGCTCAACAGGGCATTGTACCCGTGGAGGCTGAAGCTGCACAGCAAGAGGAGCACAGCCCCTTCGGGCATTCAGCTTTCAGAAAGAGCAGGGTAAGAGCTTTACCAGAGTTGGGTTTTTTCCACTTTGAATTCTTGCTAAAATGCTGTATGTTCCAGTCTTGAGTCAGAGCTCATTAAACTCAATGCAAAGACTCTTGTTGACTTTAATGAGCAGTGGTTTGAACCCTAGAGCTACTACATGATCAAAACTTGTGCTGAGCTGTAGGTATGGAGGTGTTTTGTTTGCATTGCAGATACAGTATTTGGCTATAAGGCATAGATGCTTGGGATTGTTTTCTGTATGGTCTCTGCTTCTTTCAGGTGCTCAATAGTTTACTAGATTGTTTATAATTACAGTTTTGTTTCTTAGGTTTAAGAAATTGGCCAAACTCCATCCCAATGTAAAACAGAAGCAACTGAATGCTACTGAAGTTAGTGAATGAAATTTGGCTTCTCTTACAATATGTATAGTTTTGTTCAGCTGTTGGCCGCTGGTGTGAGAGAGCTTGTTCTCATGGTACATCTGGTCCACCACATGCCACAGCACCATGAACCTGCAACACAGATTTTGCAGTAGGAAGGGCAAGTCCATGAAGCAAAAAAAAATCAATGTGCAACAGAAAAAAAATGTGCAATGCACACAGATTTTATTTCAAGCCTGCTCAGGGAAAAGAAATCAGGGACAAAAGCTAAGCTTGGAGCTCAGAACTTCCCACTGAGTGCTGTCGCTCTGAACAGCCTTTGGAAAGGTGTGTCACTTGTTCTCTAGACTGCCACAACACCCTGGGATGCCGTAAAAATAGCTGTCAGTGCCTGACTGACAGGCAGGAGACGTGTGACCCTAAATTATGATGTTTTCCTTTTCATGATGAAATGAATGCTGCCTTAGACAGGGCTGGAATACATCTGTTTGCGGTGGGAGTGCCATTTTAGGCCCGTTTCTTTTGAAACTGGGGTTGGAATTGCCAGGGATCAGCAGAGCTATGGGCTCACAAAGAGGGCACTGTCTGTGAGGAATCTTTACATAAGCCCTGCACAACCAAGGCAACAAGAGTTTGCACAGCTGCTGCTGGAAGCAAACATGTACTTTTAGCTGACCTGGGCTGATGACTTCGGGTGTTAAATCTGACGCTTTCCAGATGTACAGACCTCTCCTGCCACAGTCCCAAAACATTCAGTCCCCAGGTAAAAAGAAAAATAATAACAATAATAATAGCAATAATAAAAGGGCACTATAAATACCACATCGTAGTATATATTCCAGAGCTGACATTTACACATTGCGTGGCCCAGTTCGAAGGTGAGTGGCATTACTCTCTCCTAAGGACTGTGTTTTGAACCACTCTTGATTCAGAGTTAGTTAGTGCTGCATCTACCTTCCATCTCCCCTCTGGTCGAGCACCTTCTTCAGAAAAGGTGCCTAAATATCCAAAGCTCTTCCTACCTGCTGGGAATTGGCAAATATCTCTGTGAGCATAAGACCCCCAGGGAATAGACCTCAATTTGTGCTGGGGCTCAGGACTATTCACAGGACAAAGGCATCCTGCCAAATAGAGAGCAAATTAAGTTTCATGCTTCATGGCAAAACAGAACCTTGAACATCAAGGAACAGACTTATAGGGATGGGATGCTGGTGAAGTATTGTCACTGGAAGAGAGACGGGGAAGGGGCTGGCTGCCCCCCCTCACCATGTCCTGACTTCATCTCTGCTGCTGCAGGTTACAAGCTCTGCTGCAGAAGTCACTAATGACTGCACAGCAGCCTCTGGGATGACATTGTTCATTTGATTCTCAGAAGGAAATGGAACCTCATCTTTGCTCCAGACCCAGTATAAATTGTTTTCTTCCTTAGACTGGTTATTTTTAACGATTCCCTCCTCCATGCATCCCTGCAGCCCTTGGATGTTGAGATGTTCTTAGGGAATCTGAGGAAGGGCATGGGGTGCCTCAAGAAGATCGTTTATTTTATTCCATTTTATTTAGGTGTGGTATTTAGAAAGGCTCCAAAATTGGCAGAAAGAGAAAGGCAAATACTCTTCTGAACTGGAGACCGCCCTAACACAGGCATCTGCAGCCCAGCCTCAACTCGTGCTCCTGCCAGTTCTCTCAAGCATGACCTGGTTTGAGGACCACCTTCAATGAGATCAAAAGGTGATTCTCCCAATGCTTGCTCCACATGCCACTTTCACACTGCCTGTCAACTGGGTGAATTCTGGCCTCCTTTAGTTGAACCATGAATAACTCCAGGGAAGATAACAGTGCAATGAAGGTCAAATAAGATCCAAGAGAGCCTATAAAGCCCCAGAGATGTGTTCTTGCCATGGTGAGCATCCTGGGAAGTGGCTACTCAAAACTATCTCTTACCAGCTGGCAATTCTTTAATTTCTCCATCCTGGAGGATTGCCTGTTATCCTGGGAAAGGATCCTGGAAATTCAAGGCAGACAGCTGCTGAGAGAGCCATGGATATTTGGTGCTCATTTCTGCAGGGTTTTTCAGTTACAAAGCAGCAAGCTTGTCACATGTCCTTTCTTCCTCACTTTTCTTGTTTTCTTACTAATTACAGTGTTGTGAAGGGGAGGTTTGCTCCCTTTAAACCTTTGTTTCTCTCTCTGGCTGTGAAGAAACACTGATGTTCCACGTTTTTCATGGAATAAAATTTCAAAACATCCTGGTTTGCAGAGGGCAATAAGTTTTACTCTGGCATTTTTGATGAAACGTAAATGTTTTGCCGTGATCCAGATTGCCATTCTTCAGTTTAGTCAGTTCAGTTAACCCCAAAATCTTTGCTTTAATTCCATTCAACTGTGAAAGTTGGCCTTGAATTGTATTTCCTCCTGGAAGCTCTCATCCAGAAACTTAATACCCATGTTTTTCAGGGCATAATGCTGCTATCATGTCTCACAGACCTTAAGTCCACTATGCATCATGGCAGATGTCAACCTCCAGGAAACAGCCTGCAGGAAAGGGGAGCCATCTAAACCACAACCCCAGTGAGGCAGTGTCCTTATGGAGAAATGAGGGTTTAATGCTTTATTGAACACATTCAAACCAAAACAGTTTTCTGATTCTGTTCGAACTGGCCCTGAAGAAAGTAACTGCTTCTTGATTTCTTAATTTAAAAAAAGAAAGAATACAAGTGTGGTTTTATTTCATTATTGTCAGGAAAGAGGATTCAAAATCAGGATGTTTTTCTCCCTGAAAATTTCAATTTTTGTGAAAACTGCCTCTTTACTGGGCAGCCTTCCCAAAGGGAATCCCCAGCCAGCCCCAGCGCTAATATCAGTGCACGCTCTTTGGAGCTGATCCAAAGGTCATTCACTCCATTAGACATTTTTATCGTGGACTTGAGTAAACTTTGGACCAGGCTCTTTTGGCAGGAGCATACAGTCTGGAAACCTAAAAATAAACCCTGATTTGGACCATCCACAGCTTTTCAGCAACCATGATGGTACATAGGTATGAGCTTGTCAGAAAGGTGATGAGGTGATTTGGCCACCTCTGTGGCCAGACTATCTTTAGCTGTTTGTTGAGATAAACACAGGGGAAGATAGCATTCTACAGGCTAAGTGTTAGGAGCTCTTGATGAAGAATTTCCCTGTGAAGTGTCAACTCCAGAAGGTTCAGATGGAAGATGTTGTCTCAAGAGATGATCTGGTTTTCTCTTCAAGAAGTTTTGCAGCAGTAACAGCTTCTGGAATATGTAACACTATCATCCTCAGTCCTAGGAAGTGAAGAGTTCCCTCCATGATGCACTGTGTCTGCAACAGTAGTTTTGGGGACCAGCAAAAGGTGCTGTCCCAGAAGAGAAGAACTGGTCAAACCTCAAAATTTGCACTTTATTTGTATCCTGTCCATTTGTATCCATGTTCTGAGAGGTTCACAGGAATCAAGAGTGAGAAGAAACCCCTTGGTCACAATGAATCCTTATCCTCTCATTTACACTGCCCTTTGCTATGCACCATGAAGAGATCACTCTGCAAATGCTGACAGCAGATCTCATGCTGTAATTGCCATGCCTAAAGCCTTTCACCTGGAGCCTGCTCCAGCTCTCTGTAAGGACCTGGGTTACAGCTCTGTGCAAAGAAAGCAAAGTGTTTCCAGCATCTTGACTTTATTGCTGCAAGAGTTTGGTTGTGTCTGTTCCCACTTGCTGGCTGATGAATCACTGGCCAAACACAAATCACTGGTCACTTGCTGCTGCTGAGGTTGGAGGAGTGGCCACATTTGCCACAAGACTGTTTAGATTCAAAACAAACAATAATTATCATTTGCACAGTACATATTTAGTAGTGTAGATGTAGTAGATATATTCAAATTTATGCTAATTTTCATGATCTAATGCATCTTTGACTTAATTGGGAAAATAAGTGTGCAGAAAATTACAGGGATTTAGGCTTTATGGGCCCTGCTCAGCATCAGTCTCTGTGGGGTTGCTCTTCTGAAAAAGGCAATTGCAATGGAGGAACATGCTTGGTATGGTATATAGGAGGATATAGTGAAGAATAGGTGGTTGTACCATGTCAGGATATGAAGGCAGAGAGAGAGACAAGGTGATAAGAAGAGATGAAGAAAGTTGGAGGCTCTTGTTCAGGTGGCAGTGGGCTTGTTTATGCTCACAGACTGTGGTGGATGCCAGTTCCAATTCCCACAATGCATCCTGTTGGAGCAATGTTGTCAGTCCAGAGGGCTCCATCTTCAGCTGGTTGGTCCATTACCTTCCTACACATCTTTTTCCATCCATCTGGGTACCAGATACTTTGTTTTCTACCTGCAACAGGAAAGATTTTGGCTTATCCATGAGGTTCTTTTCAGCCACTCTTTTCTGTGGGTCCTTCATCAACCAGTTGCTGTGATTGTCCTGATTCCCAAGACAACTCTCAGAGCTGCAGCAGACTCTGTTTAAGGGTGTTAATTTGTGGCGGTAATAATGCTACAAATGTGTAGTTTGTTGATCCTGGACTGCAAAGCAGTACTACTGCCTGGCAGCTACACTGCTGGAGCTGGCAGACAGACCTATTTCCAGCACGCTTCTCTGAAAGGGGAAAGGGTGTTTTGCTATTTTTTCTTTCCCTCCCTCTTCTCCAAGTCAGAGCCTGCCAGGAAGCTTTGGAGAGAAGCTCTGGTGCTTGTCTGTGCCTCCCAAGATGAGTGTGATGGCTGGCCTCTTTACCCAGGATTTGAGCACCCAGTAAATGTTGAGGTATCACTGTAGGCTGAAGGTGAGACAAGCCCCCAGGACCTGGGGTGGAGTAGGAGAAGAAATGGGGTCTTTCCAGTGTGTGGTCTCCTCTTGCCAGAAGTCAGGGTCACTTCTCATCATCCATTGGACAAACAGGCTAATCCTGAAAGTGGGAGCCAGGGTGTCAGATGTTTGTGTTGTAACACATGGCCGGGAACATCACACACTAACTAATGTGCAGCTATTCTAAGGCTACATTTTGCATCTGCCTCAATGGAACTGTCCTATCTGAGGGGGAGGCAGAGAAATGGGGCTTATGAGCTGTGTCTCTCACTTTGCCACTATCCCTTCTACAAGGAAACTTGCAAACCCTTTTGGGGAGCAGCATGTTGTGCTAGGCAAAATCGTGTTGAGTGCATAGAGCAGTTAAATGTGTGTGTTAGGGGCCACCTTTTCATTGAAGCCTGGTCTCATTTCAGTCCCTCCTCCTGAATGTTAGGTGTTCAGAGACTTAGCTAAAGAGGAGTGAAAATGTGCCAGGGGGCTTTGCTGGGGCTATTCACCAGCAGAACAACTGTGCCAGCAAATTAGGGAGAAAACAAATAGCACCTGATCTGTTCCTGCCCAAGGGCAACATTCATTTCTGCATCCTGTTTGCTCTGTAAAACACACTTACACACCAGCTACACAAGTGCTGCGGAGCCTTTGTGCCTCCTGGGAGACCTGGCACTATCTTTTCTTGGGATATAACTGAAATATTATCAGTGGGGCTCACTGTGAATTAGACATTGCTCCATGGCAGAGCTTTCTGGTTTAGGTCAGTTTAGGACATGGCAAACGCAGAGCACAGAATGGCCATCATGCAGATGCTCTGGCGTTCCTCTGGAATGTTTAGATTATCTAGAGAGCAGCTGCATCATTCATATTGGGGCAATAATGGAGAGCGGATGCTCCCATGGATGTAACTGTTTAACCCTGCAGGTCTCCATAAGGGAGCAAAGCACCTATCCAGTGTAGTTAAGGTGACACCACTTCCTATCTGCCAAGGGCACCCTCATGATCTATGAATTTTAGGCAATTCCTTTATTAATTTACTCTTCACAGCAGTAACATCTCTGACCTGGTTCCAGAGTGTCCTTCACAGCTTATGGTATCAGATTTATCTGTCAGTGCTCACATGAAGATAGATAGAAAACCCTTCACTCCTTATTGCAACAGCATGGCTTTGGTATGGAACTAGGTTAGCATGTCAGTTTGCCTGCCCATAAGAGTTTGCACAAAGTATACCCAGAGCACATCACCTGTCCCTAAGGTATGGCCACCTCAGGGTGAAAGACAGCAGCTCTTTCATCATGCACTTAGTGATAGAAGAATATAATGAATAGCTAAAACTTCAGAGGGAGAACTGTGTTGGCAAAAGTTGATTGCCCTGTTTGAAAATAGTTGAGAGAGAGAAAGAGAGAGGTTAATGCCCAGGGACTGTACAGGCACAACCTTTGTTTTCCAGCTGCTTTGATGTCTCAATTAGCAGATCTCAGAGCAAGGACCGGGGGAGCAATTTCTTGGCTGTTTCCAGCTTCTTTCTTTTGGGGGCAGGCGGGGAAAGGTTTATTTATTAGAATAGGCAGGACACAATTAAACTGAGATTGTTAAAGGAATTCAGAGCCTGTGGGATTTCTGACAAGGTGATGAAAGAGGAACTCAGATAGTTATCCAATCAGCTGCTTTTTTCCAAGAACCTAAAGTAAAAAAAACCCACCTAAATTTAAAAATGAGGATTTTTTGTTTTTATGAATGGGTTCTTGTGGTGTGCAGGCTGCTAACACTATCAGCATTGTTTCTGGGGAACTCCAGGCATCTAATCAATCTTCATTCTGTACGAAAATGTTCCAAATTGTACGAAAACCACATGGCTTCTCCTGTTTGTAGGGAAAAAACCTGACCTGACCCCATCTGTGCTCCAGAATGGCTGAGTCCCCATCTTAGGACTAATTCCAGCAAGAGCTGTGATCTGTTTTCATTGTCCTGGCACTCAGAAGAAGGCACTTTGTGTAAGGATGCGCCTTTCCTTAGGAAAAGAGAGAGTTGTTCCAGGGAACATGTGGAGCGAAAGATGGGGTTGGGATCATTGCAATGGATATCCAGGCCATTCCCAGGCTTTTCATGTCCTTTAGCAAGTAGAGGTCAGGGCAGATGCATTCCTGGTCTTCACCTGGTTGTAGCGAAAGCCCTGTTTGCCTCACAGTGACTACTCTTATTTACTCCATCCTCTGAGAGCTGTGTCCTGTTACATGATGGGGGCTGAGTTTAGAGTCTTTTGGGTCAGGACAGTATCAGCCACTGTTTATGACACCTCTTGGCTGCCTCCAAGGCCAAGTTCATTGCCTGTGGAGGCTGTAACCAGCAACACAGCTGCAGCACAGCTGGAGGCTACCCCTCAGCATACTGCAATGCCCAAGCAAGCCCAGACCACACAACGTTAGCAGCCTTCCTGTCTGCCCCCTGATCTGCTCAGGCAGGCAGTCTGCTGCCCAGAAGGCCTTGCTATGGGAAGGGAGACAGACAGCCTGGAGGCTGTATCCAAGGCCATTCTTCAATCCTCTGCGTAACAGCAGGGGACAGCATTGAAATGTTTTGTGGGGGGCAACTTAGGGTCATTCCAGGATTTTCCAGTTGCAAAAGGGGGGCAGTGAAATGAGTTGTCCAGCATCAGCTGTCAAGGCAGAGCCATAGTTTTCCCAGGCCAGCACTACAGTCCTGCCTTTCTAATGATCTGTTTGAGCTTGTTTTCCATGGAGACACCTTGCTGCCAGAGCCATCCCCACAG